CAGATTAAGAAAATAAATTAAATTACACATTCTTTGGTCAAATTTCTTTTATATTAGGCTCTTTTAGTCTCAAACAATACTTCACAAATCACTACCTAACTAATTCAAGTCGACCTTAATTTACACATTTCTTCGCCAAAATTCTTAAAAAAATAGGGGCTCTTGTGTGTTAAACACCAACCTTTGCACAAATACTAATTACGTCACTCTTTTGCCTTTTTCAAATCACCAGTAACGTTTTCTTTCGTTTTTCTATCGTTTTTGTTTGATTTTCTTAAAGAGTGTGAACCACATTAACACGAAATTCAACGCACTTGGTATTTTTTTCATCTTATCATTTTTATGGACTTTTGGCCCAAATAATATTAATTAATAAAAATAACCAATCCGTTGCAGTAAAGGTTGGATTGAATTTTCATTTTTCATCAACGTTTATTGTCTAAAGTTTGATATTTTTTGCTATAGTGTCTACCAAAATTGCTCCGTGATCCCCTCTCCAAAAACAATTGCAATTTTTGCGCGAGAGAGATGGTTAATTAATTTTTACACGGGTTGAGAGCGTTGGAGCTAGAGCTTATTCCATATCTGGTGGCGAACTGACAGTGACAGAAAAGACACTTGGAATGCACCCACCTGGTTAACATAAAAAATACATGGGCGTACTTTTTTTTCTCTAAAAATTTTGAAGACAAGGATTGTTTAGAATATCATTTTTAAAAATTCTTTTCATGCGTTAACAATTTAATAATTTGTTCATCATTCTTCATCTTATGTATGAGTAGCTACTTTTTATAATTTTTTAAAGAATAACAGTGGTTTTGAAATATCATTTCATACTACGGCTATGAACAATATTCTCTTTAATAGTAAACATATGTTTATTGTCATTTTTGACAACGTCAGTTTGCCACCAGATTTGGAACAAGCTCTATCACGTTTTAGTAAGATACCGTGAGATCAAAAATTATCTTGGTCAAGGGTGGTCACGGATTTTAAAATAGTTGTCGTAAGTGAGTCAAACATTGACAGAATTATTTCAAAAGGACGATATAAGCAACGACACACGTTTTCGATTCCATGACCATGCGTTCTGTGCATAAATTACCCATTTTGCATCCTTTTGGGCGCAATCCAAGAGGTTCCAGTCCTTGAACTTGTGCCCATGTGCATTGAACTTGTGCTTGGCAGCTGCATAGGTGAAGTGTGGGCTCCATCATTACTTCTTCCTATCGTGGGCGTATGCGTATATACGCACACATCACCACTTTCCAAATTCTAATTACCAATAACAGGTTCGAACAGCTCAACGAACTTAACAATCATAAATTTCTAATTACTCTCGACACTACAATTCTAAACAGGCCGGCATTTAACACCCAATAATGAGGACATTATTATAACCAAGTTGTTGCCCTTATGGCGTAATTAAAGCTTTCCGGTTCAACAGTCCATTTATGTAAACACTTGTAATGTCTTCCTTCCTTTCGAGAAAAATAGTTGATGGTGTCAGGCGCTCCCCTTTTTCAATTTGGCAGCCTATTACCTGCGTGCAAATTGAATTTAACCGAAATCTTATGTTAGGTTTGCTTGAACTGCTCTTTGATTTTAATTAAGTTCGCTTCATCCCTGGAAGACACTGACATATAGCAGCGCTCCCGAGAATAGGACGGTAAATTTAGATCGAATGCAAAACAAAGAGCAAATCTTTTTGCAATCAAATAGTTAATATTAGGATGATATATGATATGAGCTGAGCAGTTCATTTTTGTTTATCCAACTCGGTTCGAGATTAGACGTTGTATTTGTAAATATTCCTCTCAGATTTGCCTCTAATTGAGTGCAACCTACGTGAAACATGTGTTTGATAATAAGGAAGTCCGTGTTTCCACGTCTATTAATATCAAGGATAAAACAAAAAGGTTGGTTGGGGTTGTAGGACACAAAAAACAAGTATCGGGTGCAAGATCGATGACTCTTCGAGTATTTATAAGGATTGCTTTTTTCACGAACTATTCGGTCCGGAAAAGGAAGTTTTCTCTGGAGCCGGTTTGTTCTCAAGCCGACTAGAAATTTAAAGCTGTCCTGTGAAAATGTCATCGCTAACCACATTGACTTGGATTAATGTATTTCCTCCAAATCGGAAATTAGTTGTGTCAGTTTAAACGTTTCCGTTGATAGAAATTGCCGGAGTTATCATCATTGCCACCCAAAAGATAAATTCTTAGTTGGAACGGTTTTTCGCTTTCTTGGAACGAATCGACGACATTCCACGAGACTTTGTTGTGATTGCTACTCAATTTAGAGGAAAATTGCTGTAACAATAAGTTGTAAATCCAGTTGTCGCAACAACCGGTGTCTTGACAATAATAATTAATAAAGCAGCTGTCTTGCAGACCAACCTGAAAAAACTCGACAACTATTTAAATCACTATTAAATGACTCCTTTATCAGTTTATAAATCTTTCAAACTCGAAGTGGGAACCGCTGAATTTATTATCGCACCTATTCATTGTTAAACTTGAGGAATTGAAGTCGTCAATGTTAATCAGTAAGGCTCGGATTATATGCACGAAAAATGCGTGAATTATTCACAAAAATATGCACAAAATATTAAGAAATATACTCGAATATATGCCAAATATGCATCGATATGCAAAACTTTTAACAATAAAAAATCAAAGTTGGAATAAATTTTTATCCTCGAGTACACTAAAGTTTGTATTTTCATCATCTTGAACTGCGCACGATGAACGAAAGAGAATAAATAAATTGGTTTTGCTTCAGACAAGCCATTTTAATAACCTGGTAATTAAGCCTTTCTAAGAAATCTGTACTTTTCAAATCATATGTTACCGTCA